CATGATATAAAACTCAAAAAAGTTGATTTTACATGATATTGCCCCTTTAAAAAAAACATCCAGGAAGAGGAGTGAAAGTTATTCTAACAAACTTGTGTTGAAGCAGAACAGCTCAATTTACGCTGTTTTTTTTTTTTTTTTTTTTTTTGTTGGCCAGAAGCAAAAACTATATGAACAGATACAAAGATATAAAGCTGGTAAAAATCTGAATTAGATCGACAGATTAAAGGAAAGCCTACGTTTGGATGTAGCCTGAAGTCAGAGTTCAGGCTAACTAGGGATGGGTACCGAATTTGATACTTTTTTATGTAAAGACCGAATTCTGTCGGTACTACTGAGTATCTATTCACGTAACATCAAACGGTACCGTGCTTCAGTACCTAAACACATCATTGCGACCAGTTTGGCTTAAGAGTGGTGAGTTTTAATAATAATAATAATGAATTTAATTTGTACCACACTTTTCATTAACAAAAATCCCAAAGTGCTACAAAAAGAACCAGCCACACAGAACGCCCGACCTCCCATGGTCCTTAATTTAGTCCGTGGAAGGTGGAGCAGGTTACTGTTCTGTGATCGGAGGGAGCGGATGATGAAAATGAGACAACAAGGTCCTTCAGATAATCTGGTGCAGTTCCGTATAAACATTGATGGGTAATAAGAGCAGTCTTATATTGAATTCTGTAGGTGACAGGAAGCCAGTGGAGGCTATGGCGAATGGGMGTAATGTGTTCAGATTTACAAGCTCTCAATAAAATCCTGGCAGCTCTGTTTGGAATGTATTGAAGTTTCTGAAGGTTTTTGCCAGGGATTCRGATAAACAGAGAGTTACAGTAGTCGAGTCTGGAGGAGACAAAGGCATGGAAGAGTGTCTCTGCATCAGCAAAAGTGAGAGATGGGCAAAGTTTGGAGATATTACGTAGATGGAAAAAAAAAGGTTTTAAACAGATGCTTGATGTGATTTTCAAATGTAAGATGAGAGTCCATTCTCACCCCAAGGTTAATACCAGAGGTGGAGAGGGGGATGTCTTGACCAGAGAAGGAAATAACTGTTATAGTTGAAGTTTGAACCTGATGAGGGGTGCCGATCAGTATGGCCTCGGTTTTGGAGCAGTTTAATTGAAGAAAGTTCTGGCTCATCCATGCCCTTCTCTCCTCCAGGCAGGTAGTGAGGGCAGTGAGTGAAGATGGAGATGACAGTGGTGTTGATGATGCTCCAGTCCTGATGTACAGCTGTGCATCATCAGCATAACAGTGAAAAGAAATGTTGTGATGATTAACGGTTTGACCTAAAGTTTTCCATGCTTCTCCTGAACGCAGCATCGCACAAAAGCGTAATGACGTCAACAGCCACTGGTTCAGACTGTAAACAGAGGTAGAGCTCAGTCTGAACGCAGCTTGAAAGCCTCACAGCTCCTGGAGTAAAACTCACCGAACAGACCGCCTCTGAATTATCTGGTGGATTAATTATCTTGTGAACATGACGTTCACTTGCTCAAAGTAACTTTATTTATTTCATCCACCATTAAACAGAGACCAGCAGAGAAAAACAACAGAAGCACTTCCCGACAGTCTGAACACGTCTGACCTAAAGAGCACAAGCAGRCAACTTTGCATTGGACGTGTTCTGGATGCTCAAAACGTAGTGTTGAAGTAACCAGTTTTATAATCAAATATATGCTTTGTTTACATATCAGTGTTATGACCAAACTTAGGTATTGTTCAGTTTTATAATTGGATTTAGGTATTGTTCACTCTTAAAGTTCTATTAACATTAGTATTGTTCACTTTTGCATGAAGTTTGTTCAGCGGTATTTTGTGTTAAGCAGCTGAAGTTTTACACATTTTATTCATTTATTGTTGTATGGACGAGCTGAGTGTCCTCCCCGTGAGCTGCTGGAGTGGAGCAGGTTCTGACAAGCAGAAGATGAGTTGCAGACGGGCTGAGGGAGTCTAAGGGAGTGGACGGTTGGGTCCAGTTGAAGCCGCATTCCTGAGAGAGCTCTGTGTGTGAGTGTGGAAGAGGAGAATAAAGACAGGGTTGTTCTTCTCATCAAACAGACGACATCTTACCAGCAGAGAAGCTGAGTGCACCTGATTTCAGGTTGTCTTGTTGTCTCTTTAAATGCGCATTTAAAGCTTTTGAATAATCTTGTATTTTGCATTTTGCTTAACCTTTTACAATTACATTTAATAAAGGAGGGTTTGAACTTTTAAGTACTTGTATGATATTTTTCACCTCGGTAATAGGTCAACTCAGAGGAGAGGAAAACGAACTCGGGCGGAGAGAGTAAGTTCGTGGTTGTTCGCACAACAGTAGCTTGAATACATTTTATTTATTTTAACTCCATCCTCTTTTGTTTATTTGATTTAAAATTATTTGCCTTCCATGGACCTCCATCACACATTTTTCTAGTGGGGAAATGACATTTTGAAATGAAGTTTTCACCTTAAAGAAATAAGTTACACAACTGATGTTACAAAACAAAGAGTTGGATGTTGTCTTGATATTTGTTAATTTAATATATTAAGGAATATATTAAATAAAAATAAATAAATAAAAGTTTATTATTGAAAAAACAACACACATAAAGTACTGAAAAATGGTATCGTTAAGTACCGGTATCGATTCCCAGGTACCGGATATTGGTACCGAATCYATTCAAACGTCAAAGGTACCCATCCCTAAGGCTACCAGAGATGCTGAAGGCTAAGCTGAGCTGTACCAATGCAACTATCCTGAAGTTGGACTCAAAATAAAAACACAAATTTTAACGAGTCATTTGTTATTTTAGTTCAGACCTCTGCTAGTGTAGCTCATCAGCTATAAGCTAAAACGCTGAAATTTTGTTGTACCTTTGTTTTTTTTACCACTTTAACCTTTTCCCTCTGATTGTCTTTCAGACCTTCATAGTATTGAATCGCGGGAAGGCAATCTTCCGTTTCAATGCCACTTCTGCCTTGTACATCCTAAACCCCTTCAACCCTCTAAGAAGATTAGCTATTAAAGTTTTAGTGCACTCATATCCTTTTAGACTTTTTGACGGAGGATTAAAGAATTTATCAGACAAAAGAAGGAATTACAARGAGCCACCAGTGAAGACTTAATTTGTCTTTTTCTGTGATAATCCAGTGTTTAATATGACCTGTTCTACTGTATGTTTTGTGCCTTAACTCTGTTCCTACGATGTTCAGCATGTTGATCATGTTCACCATCCTGACCAACTGTGCTTTTATGACCCTGAGTAATCCCCCGGAATGGGCCAAGAATGTAGAGTAAGTACCAGCAATGTCTCTTTTCTCATCTTTCCACTGAAACGGTTAAATCTGAACACAACAAGCATCAATAATGTCACTGTGTGAAACTGTGTGTTCATAATGTGATGTGTTGGACAAATACAGTGAACTGATGACAGTTTTGCTAACACAGTCATGACAAATAAAAAGTAGAATTGAAAAAAAAAACWGCTAAATTTGTCTGGCCCAGGTCTGGCCCACATAATGCACCAACACTTGGCCCAGATAAGGCGAAGAGTGACGGCCCACTGGTGGTGCAGATGTTTGCTAGAGGTGGTCCATGCAAGAACTAGCATAAACCAAATTAGAACTGGGCCAGTTGTGGCCAGATCTGGTCCCCACCTGTTTGCTATGTGGGTGCTGTCGAAACACTCTACACAAAAAACATGGCTGCTTCAGAAAAACACACAGAAGTAAATAAAATCCAATCAGTTGCGTGAAAAGAAAAATCTACAGAGCTGCTCTAGACATGAGGTGCAGGTACGGCAAGCAGTTGCATCATTTAACTCTGAAAAACAAGTCTTTAGTATATGTATTCAAGGTCCTAGATATAAGCTTTATTTTCTCATTATTTTATTTTATTTTTCTTAGACATACCTTATAGAAGTTTATAAAACAGAGATCTTTTGTGATCTTTGTGTATCTTTTATTGTATAGTGAATCAGTGAATCAGTGCTGTACTGAACCAGAGGTGCAGTCATGAAGTGGATGTACCATTTCACCTCCAGTGCATTGCTTTTCACATTGAATTCTATGGTTGTTTACAGACACAAATTAAAAGAAATATTCAAAGAATAATAATTCTACCAGAATGTAATGCAAAAATTTAAAGCTTTAAAAAAAATTTTAATTTTGTGAACTTTCTACAAAATCTTAGAGATTGCAGTCTTGAGGGTTAACTTGAATAACTTGGTACATCAACGAAATGTTGATGGGGCTGGCGGGGCCTGTGGTCGTAGCTGGGTGGGTYGTTCTCGTTGCGCAGGTGGTCTTGGGGGCTCGGTGCTTGGGGTCTCTCTCAGGGTCTGTGGCTCTGGTTCCCCTTATGTTTTCCTTGGGTCTTGGGGGTCGAGTCTGTGGTCCTCCACAGCCACTATTTAATATTCCACTAGAGAAATCTTGTGTTTATATGTTCACAACCGCACAAAAATAGACATTTGGATCCTGGGGTTTCTGACATCACTGGATGTATAAATGTGTATGTAGGTATGTATGTGTGTGTATATGTGAATGCTTGTATGTGTATGTGCCTGATTGTGTGTGATGCTCAAATGTCGGGTGTGGTGTCC